CAGATGAGGAATATGAGGATGGGTCGGCCGAGCAAGTTGCATGGATGCCCTCGCTTCTTTCTTTTTGGACTTTGTACTAGGGCCGGGAAAGTCCCGCGCAGACAGTTGAGTGGGCGTGAGAGCATAACTGTTGCCATAGCTTCTTTCTTGTTCTGCTGTGGGAACTCGGAATTCTTGGCGAGATCCTCGCGTGGGAACGTCGTTTTCAAATTTTTGAACTGATGCCGAGCCCCCGCGGGCTCTCGGAATTGTTTTCCCTTCAGAATTTCTTTTCGTAAATTAGGATTTAGATAGGAATTTAGGTACCTTAGAAATTTTGCTGCACCGCGCTTCTTGCTTGCACACATCTTACCGCTGTAGGGACTGGGCTCTGATTGTATCGCGTGCTTAATCTTGCATGTAACCGTAATTTTTGGTTTGCGCGATTGCAACTGTACTCCTTGATTCTCTCGTGTTTCCCCGCCTTCTCCCTCTCTATCGCGCATACCTCGTTCTCCATTTTAATTGGCCTAAGCGACTGCATGAACGGATTGGTGTGTGGAGTGTGTCAGCGTCCCCCAGACGTAGGTACTTCCTTCTCTTCCCCTTCCTCTCACTTAGGCATAATCACGTGTTTATCGCTCAAGCAAGCATGCTATAAATTTCGCAAGCGCGATTAGTTTGCTCTCTATGAATTTGGAAGTTACCGCGGTCAGTGAGGATCGGCTAACGAGTAAGCTCGGAAGGTGAGTACGAGAGAGTTAGGCCATCGGACGAGCTGGTGCCTAGTATGCGGGGTTGACGTGCGGGTCGCGACGGACTGTGGCGCACGGTCGAACCTGCCTTGTATGCTCGGGCCAAGTGGGGTGACAACTTGGTGTTGATGCGAGGCGATGGACTGCCCACATCGGAGGTGAAATGGGGAGAGAGAGAGAGAGAGAGAGAGAGAGAGAGAGAGAGAGAGAGAGAGAGAGAGAGAGAGAGAGAGAGAGAGAGAGAGAGAGAGAGAGNGGGGAGAGAGAGAGAGAGAGAGAGAGAGAGAGAGAGAGAGAGAGAGAGAGAGAGAGAGAGAGAGAGAGAGAGAGAGAGCGGACATGTTGGGATGGTGTCTTTTCTCCCCTCATCTATGAAATTTTTACAATTGGCGTCAATCATCTTTGCCTCACGACTATCTCAATTTTTTCTTTCTTTTTAATGATCTGTTCCTTTATCTTTGCCTCTCTGTAAGCGTGTCCAATCGGGTATGATAATTGCCTGCATCCGGTTTCTATGTGCTGTGGGCCAAAATGATGAGAATGAATGATTGGATTGACTGAAGTATCGGGATGCATGCGTACTTGTCGATTTCTCACCTTTTCTCAGTATAGACTAGGAAGTCATGCGAATAACCATGTGTCCGCCCGTGATCAATGCATGAATGTCGAGTTCTGGAGAAACGTGTCTCTTAATGGATCTAGAGTTGGCAATAGGGACGATCGACTGTCCCTTGTATGTGTGATCTTTGTCCACGGTGTACATAGGTAACGACAGATGCCTGAAACTGTTGAATGGGGATAAGGTAGATATGCATGTTAGATGATTGGACGTGATAAATAAGTGGATGCACTCCCCTTGAAAGCACCTGAACGACCTCACCCCCCCCCCCCTTCCCCAGGGAACGCCCGCACGTCTTGTGCACACGCGTGTAAGCCCGACCTCGAGGGCCGCTGCTTACACGCATGTCTATAAAACCTGCCTGCAACCCGCTTCCCGAATGACTGAGGTTCTGAGAGTCCCGCAGTATGAATAGTGAGACTCCGTTCCATGTTACTGATCGCGAGTGTTTGAGAGACCGAGAATTCCAAAAATACTGGGAGCGTGCACACTTTTCTGCACGCCCCGGGGCTAAACTCCCGGAATTCCCCTATCGAATGGGGCGAGAGCGCGTTTGTCAGTGGGACATCGGGCGAGCCTTAGACGATATTCCCTATCCTTTCCGCCGTTCCGGCCCGCCCACGTGTCAGATTATCGCGGAACCCAGCATCGTCATCATCGAAACGGAATATGCTCCCTATAACCTCACGTTGCCCTTCCACAGCCTAATGATCGCCCCTTGGCGTGTGATTGCTCCTTACTGGCGTGACCCACCTTGCCCTGAGTGCCAGCAAGACTGCTCCTACCGGGCCAGAGGATTCACTTGGCGAACCCTCTCCATAGCCGAGCGATGGGCACACAATCTTCGACTCTGGCCTGCCGCGTCGGATTCCAAAACTTGTGACATTCGTCGACAACGAGTACTCAGACAATGCGACAGTCACAGCGTCCCCCTGGTACACCAAATACGGGACAGACCCAGACGACGGAACCTGTGGGGATGGTGATGCATCCTTCGAGGTTTAAACGCTCGATGCGACCTGCGCTGGCCATCTTGCATAAATACCCCTAGAGCTTGCCACATGAGATCTGAGTTCCGACCTGAGACTCCGCCCCCATTTTCCTAAAATCCTTGGCACACCCCTTTTTCGCACTTCCGGGCCCCCATCCCACTCTGATCGGGAAGTCGCGCAGGGCGTGAGGTTGGGCGTCACAAGCTAGGCAGGGCAGATACCACGCGAGGCAGCTAATTGCCTCGCTTCATTCAGTTCCTGACAAGTACTGTAGCATCCTGTATCGGACCGCAATCACAGCATAAGGGATGCTTTTTTTTTTTTTAATCTGCTGTTCGTGGATAGACGAGGGCCCTAACTGAACTGTTACCGAAAGGCAGCCCGAGTTTCAACTGAATTTCAAACTCGGGCCCTGACTGAACTGTTACCGAAAGGCAGCCCGAGTTTGAACTACATTTCAAACTCGGGCCCTTACTGAACTGCTAAAACGCAGTTTCAAGTGCATTTACAAACTATTTTCGTGACCGCGCCGTAGTTACCCCTTAAATTTACATGAAATCCTCTAAATCATGGGATCACACTGGGTCGCAGCTTATATTATAAAAGTAATTGAATATCCAGCGGCCTAGCTCAGCTGGTAAGGCACACAAGTGGCATTCAGGAGGTCTTGGGTTCAATCCCCATTGGCCTCATGGCGCCCGCCACCTAGAGATATGCGTTGGTCCCCCTAAGTGGCATTGAGCAGAGGCGGAGGGGACCAGAGGGCAGGCACAGTGACTGGCCTATCGAAGAAGCTCAGTCCTGATGTTATTGGCTGCCACTTGGCTGGTATTGCCCACCTGCTGTAGCAGGTATCGCACCTGTTGGTGGGTGCAACTCCCACATGTTCCCTCGTTGGAGGCTTGAGCACGGATGTGACTGCTACGGGAATTACGAGGATTCCCCGTAACAGGGTTCCCCATAATCCTATGATGACAATAAGAAAGGCCTAAAAGGCCGTCCTGTCCAGATTTGACAGGTAATTGAATTGGTTGGTCCAGATTTGACAGGTAATTGAATTGATTTTCAAAAGGGGTAACTTCGGCTCAGTCACGAAAACAGTTTGTAATTGCATTTGAAACTGCGTTTTAGCAGTTTTTTTAGTCAGGGCCCGAGTTTCAGTTGCAGTTGAAACTCGAGCTGCCTTTCCGTAGCAGTTCAGTCAGGGCCCTCGTCTATCCACGAACAGCAGATTAAAAAACAACAACAACAACAACATCCCTTATGCTGTGATTGTTGTCCGATAGAGGATGCTACAGTACTTGTCTGAAACTGAATGAAGAGAGGCAGCTAACTGCCTCGCGTGGAATCCGCCCTGCCTGGCTGCCAGGGCGCTACAAGGACCTCACAACAAGAAACCAAAAAGGAAAACGACATGTTTCATGTTCCTCATTTCCTGGCCAGATACATTCCTCAAAGCACTGGTGAGGTGAGGGCCTTCCCCACTTAGGGCGTCGTTCGACACTCCTCAGCGCGTCCTTGGGCTCCGAGGACGAATCCTCGGAGTTTTTTTTTATTTTTCGAGGTGTCGTTCCACCTGTCCTCGGAGAATCGCCCCGAGGATGAATCCTCGGGGCCCTACCGCGACCAGTTTCATGAGATTACTGACGGCCACGAGGGGCTTGTCCGGCCTCCGAATCGGGATGTTCGTGTAGGAGTCGTGGTGGTCCAAAAGGCGAACGACAGGAATGCGTCACGGGCCCTGGAAAAGAAAATCAGAAAGGCGGGAACGGCCGCCTTTCCGTAGCAGTTCAGTCAGGGCCCTCGTCTATCCACGAACAGCAGATTAAAAAACAACAACAACAACAACATCCCTTATGCTGTGATTGTTGTCCGATAGAGGATGCTACAGTACTTGTCTGAAACTGAATGAAGAGAGGCAGCTAACTGCCTCGCGTGGAATCCGCCCTGCCTGGCTGCCAGGGCGCTACAAGGACCTCACAACAAGAAACCAAAAAGGAAAACGACATGTTTCATGTTCCTCATTTCCTGGCCAGATACATTCCTCAAAGCACTGGTGAGGTGAGGGCCTTCCCCACTTAGGGCGTCGTTCGACACTCCTCAGCGCGTCCTTGGGCTCCGAGGACGAATCCTCGGAGTTTTTTTTTATTTTTCGAGGTGTCGTTCCACCTGTCCTCGGAGAATCGCCCCGAGGATGAATCCTCGGGGCCCTACCGCGACCAGTTTCATGAGATTACTGACGGCCACGAGGGGCTTGTCCGGCCTCCGAATCGGGATGTTCGTGTAGGAGTCGTGGTGGTCCAAAAGGCGAACGACAGGAATGCGTCACGGGCCCTGGAAAAGAAAATCAGAAAGGCGGGAACGGCCCCGTTCGAAATTCGAAATTCGAGTTTTCTTCTTGCGTAGCGACGTGGTGGCGGTGCACTGGCGGGTCGTCGGGGGGGCAGTCCACGCCTCGCAGGGTTTCAGTTGCCATCACGTTGCGTATTTCTCCGCCACCGCACCGCCACTATGGTCGACGCGGCGAAACCCTCAAGTGTGGTCGACGCGGCGAAACGCTCAAGTGTGGTCGATGCGACAAAACGAAGACGTCTGATCGGCAGTTGTGCTCGCCACGTGGAGTCTTGCGACGGTTCCGTACTTCAGCGGTGGTGGGCGGACGCTCCAACTGGGGTGGAACATCGTTCGGTAGGGCTGTCCCCCTCACCTGGTTGCCAACGTCTTCAATCATGGTGGCATAGGTACACACAGGTGGGTGGCTGTGGACGTTGTTTTTCGTGTTGGAAGAGCGTCATGGAGGGCTGCGATTGCGATGTCCGTGTTGTGCTGTCGACGAGGGAGAAGACAGTTATCGCGGCGGCTGCGGTTGCCGTTGTCCGTCGTTTCCAATTGGAGAGGGCGGCCGGGCGCATGAAGGCAGCACTTTTGAGGCGGCGGCAGAGGCGTCTGCTGCAGAGGGTGTTGGACGCCCCGCACTGCATCACCACTTCGGAGGCCGTGGTTCAGCTGTGTGTTGCAATCGGGTGCGGTTTGCTTCCTCGGGCGATGCCACGTTGGCGGATGAGGCGGAGAACTGGCCGGACTTGGGAGGATTTGCAGGTGTGCGATGACGCGACAGACGACTACTTTCTTGAAAAGCTCCGCATGTCAAGGAGAGTGTTCATGGAGATCAGCGAAGCCTGCGCCTTATTTGCAACGACAGGTGACGTTTTACAGGGAACCACTTCAGCTAGAGCAGATCGTCGCGTACGCGCTTTATAGGTGGGCTACAGGAGATCCATACGAGAAAGCACATCATCCTTCGGCATAGGCAGCACTTCCGAAGTTCGAGCCGTGCGCGATGTGACAGCCGCTTTGTTGAGGGTGTACAGGGACAAGATATCGTGGCCGACTCGGTTGCGGAAACACGTCGTGCTACGGAAAATTTTTGGAGAAGGGCTTTCCCAACTGGCATGGCGCAGTTGACTGCACACACATCTACGTGGACAAACCGGCGAACGCGCCGAGCGAGAACTACTTCGACCACAAGCACCATTTCTCCGTCATTGCGCAGGTGGTGGTGGACCTGGATCTGCGCGAGCTTGACGTGTTCGTTGGATATCCGGGGAACTGCCACGGCATTAGGGTGATCCAGCTGTCAAGTCTGTCGAGGCGAGCGGAAGAGGGACTGTTGGTTCGAGGGCCGCCTGTCATGCTGTCGGAAGGGGTGAGGACGAACGAATACATCTTGGGCGACAACGGGTATCCTCCTTCTAAATGGGTAATGGTGCCATACGGAGGAATCAATCAGCACCCGGACGAGGAAAGGTTCGACACGAAGCAAAAGGTCGCAAGAGGGGCTGTGGAGAGGGCGTTCGGGAGGTTGAAGGGGATGTGGAGGCTCTTCCTTCGGACGCACAAGACGAACCTCGACACTCTACCGCAGCAGTTCACGCCAGTCTGCAGTCTCCACAACATCCTGCTCGATGCCAGTATCGAATTCGACGAGGATTCGTTGTGGGAGGTCGACGAGAACGGGGTGAGCCGTCGTGTGGACGTGGGGATTCATCGTCCCCCGCAGCCAGTGACGATGTTGACTTCGACGCACGCGGCTCACGCGCTCCGCAATGTGCTGGCGGAGCAAATGAAACACATGTGATCCTGCCTGCCGCTTGCCTGTTTGTCCCCTTCAATTCGTGTTTCGCCATCGTCGATCGACAGCCCCTGCGTCTGATGCTTACGCGCGCAATTGCTTCGGAGGGTTCGCCATCGCGGACGGGTTGTTTTTAGGTGTTTTTTGTTGTAGTCGAGGGCAGACTTGTTGTCCAGTCTGTCGATCATTGGCAGTGATGCGGGTTCACTGTTGTTGTGGTTGCCGCAATGGTAGTGTGTTTGTTTTCTAGCTCGTCATTGTTGTTGTAGCCGATGAAACGGTATTCCCGCGCAATTTAAAGTGGAATCCGGGACGAGAAATAGGGAGGGAGGGGGGGGGTTGGGGGTGGGGGTGGGGGCGGGAGGTGAGGGCCGGCACGAAGAAATCCGTCAGCCCGCTGTTTCGCAAGTGCTTTTCAGCGCAGTTTTTCTTGAACTTGAACTGTGTGTGCTTTCTTATGATGTTTGTGTGAGGACGTGTTCGTGAGTCCAACTGCTATCCTTCTTTAAGCACACATGCTTTTTCTCGACTACATGGAATGTCTGTCATGCATGTCGTCTGCGCGTCTTTGAGTTTGGTAAATGCAGTCGGAAAAGCTTCGTTGTTCCACTAATGACTCACGTGCATTGAAAAAGAAATGAAAGAAAAACTCACGAAAGATGTGTGTATCCAGCAACTGCGAGGTGACCATCCATTTATTTATTTTTTCCTTTATTTTGGCTTTCGTGCGGTGTGCGTGATCATCAGGTTTTAGCGATGGCATTATGAAGGGAAACACGGGCAGCAAACAGAAAAGGATGACAATGAAAGTGCGTGGATAGGTTCCTTCCTGTTTGCCTTGTTTTCTTTTGCTTTCTCAGGTGCCGACGATGATAACGACGCCATGAGTCGTACGACTGAATGAGTATGCCGCATACAAAAGAAGATGTGGACGAGCATGCGATGGCCATTAACGCCTGCGTTACATGATAAACCCACACAGACGACAATAAAAGGGGCACTGCGTACGCAATCGTAAGCATGCGCACACACGCCGTCGACACAGAAACATAAATTCAAGGAAATCATTTGAGCAACACAACAAAGTTTAGGCGGCGATCCAATTCTCTCCTAACTGTCCACCGTTAAAACGGCCCACACCAAAGACGCAGTACTCCTGCCGTTTACGTACATTTCGGTGGTGTCATCCACCGAGACAAGAAACCCTTTTGTGCAGCACAAGTGTAAAATAGGCTCCGATCACAAAAAAAAAAAAAAAAAAAAAAAAACAATAAAGCGTTCACAAGACA